CCCGGCCGGGGCGGGGGGAGGGGAAGGCCCTGGAAGCACACCGGGCGTGGCCTCACCTCGGCGCCCTCTTTCTCCACGCCGGCCAGGAAGATCGCGGAGCCCACGAAGAGGCAGATGCAGAGGTGCAAGTGCACGGTGGTGCGCGAGCTCTGGATGGGCCGCACCAGCAGGAAGGTGAGGATGCACAGCAGCAGGCAGATCAGCGACAGCGACAGCCCCACCTTGGTGATCAGCGCCAGTCTCGGGTCCTAGAGAAGGGACCGTGTGGGCGGGGTTGGATCGGGCGAGACCTTTCTGCGCTCTCGGATCTGCCCGGGACCCCGCCTGGGGGACTCTGATGTGGCCGCTCATCTCCTGGCGGTTGCCCTCAGCAAGCCTGCCTGTGCCACTCAAATCCAAACTAAAAACCCTCGCGTGGGGGCACCTGTCCAGTTCATTTGCGATGTCTGCCCCTATTCCCGTGGCGCTGGCCTAGGTCTCAGGGTCTTTAACCACTCTCAGACCTCATCTCTCACCCTTCCTACCCGGGCCACCCCTACCAACTCTTGGGCTCCCTCCTTGGGTTCATCTGGGCCTTTGGCATAGACTACTAGGCAGGCTCCTCTACTCTGCCTGGCCAGCCCCAGTTATCCACCGGTTGCTGCCACCTCAAGGAGGCCACAAATGTAACAACTGGTGCGTGGGAACGGCCGGGGGCAGCTGGAGAGGGCTGGGCAGCGCACTGCCAGGCTGCTAGCTGAGGTCCTAGGGAGCCCTGGCAGGAGCCCTTTTGGTGTAGTGGTTACACGTTCGGTTGCTAGCTGAAAAGGTAGCTGTTCAAAACCACCAGCTGCTCCGAGGGAGAAAGATGAGGCTCTTACTCTGGTCAAGTCACAGTCTTGGAAGCCCATAAGGGCAGTTCAACCCTGCGAGTCAGCATCGCCTCAACGGCAGTGAGTTTTGTTTTGTTTTAGGGAGTCCCCGGGCTCTGCTCCAGTAAAGATTAAGCCCCCAAACCAAACCACTGCTCATAGCCACCCTCACAAGGGCAGAGCAGAATGGATCCCAAACTGTAAGTCTTTACACGTGATGGCATCTTTCAATCGCCTCACGTATGCACGTGACAGTTGGACACTGAATCAGGAAGCTCGAAGAAGAACCAATGCGTTTGAGAAGAATATTGTAAGTACCACGGACTGCCATCTGTCTTGGAAAAAGTACGGCCAGAGTGCTCCTTCGAGGCAGGGATGGCCAGACTTTGTCTTCCAGACTTAGGGCTTATTGTCAGGAGAGACTGGTCCCTGGAGAAGGTCACCGTGTTTGGTGGCGGGGCATGGAAAAGAGGAAGGTCCTCAAGGAGATGGACAGACACAATTGCTGCAACAGGGGGCTCAGACACGGACAATTGTGAAGATGGCACAGGACCAGGAAGTGTTGCATTCTCTCGTACTTAGGGTCCCATAGGGTCACTATGGGTCGGAACCAACTCCCGGGCACCTGACAACAACAGTAGATCTGTGCAGGGGCAGGCAGCCTTAGCTTTGTCTCCGAGTGACTGGTGGGTTGGGTTAGCAGCACCACGCTTGACCCATTATGTCAGCAGGGCTCTCCCAGCAGAGGACACCGTTGGAAACCCTATGCGGCCGTTCTGCGCTCTTTCAGAGTACGTCTAGAAGTCAGACCACAATGCCAAGGGAGCGTAACGAGCCCTGATGGCACAGTGGTTACATGCTGCGAAAGGTCAGCAGTTTGAAACCACCCGCTGCTCCGTTGGAGAAAGATGAGGCTTGGGAGAAAGATGGGGCTTTCTACTCCTGTAAAGAGTTACAGTCTCAACAACCCCCAGGGGCGGTTCTACCCTGTCCTGAGGGTCACCATGAGCTGGAATTGATGTGATGGCAGTGAGTTTGGTGGGGGGGGTTGAGAGGGAGAGCTGAAAGATGGGATGTGGGGCTCCCTCGGTTGACCACTCCTGGAAATATTGGAACAAGTAGTTGGGCAGGACCCCTGAGAACCAGCTGGCCATCTCCCCCAAGCTGACATCCCACCAGTGGCCTGTGGGGCGGCCCGAGCTGCTCACCTGCACTTTGTAGTGGGCCATGAGGATGGCGAAGCTGCTCAGGTGTTCGCACTCACAGGTGGTGCTGTTGTTCCGGCTGCCTAGCGTCTTGCAGCCTTGGGTGGCCCAGTACCCACTCCCATTGTGGTCAGCCTTCCAGAAGGCACAGAGCAGCTCCTGCAAAGGCGCCGGCGTCTTCGCCTGTGGGAAGGTGGGACAGTCAGAGAGCTCAGCCAGCGCCCCCTCTGGGTTTCTGAGCATGGAGACGGCGTCTCTCCTTGACGGGAACTTACTGAGCCCCTGTGGTCTGCCAGCAGCCCTGGGGGCACCATGGGTCATGCATCGGGGCGGCTAACCGTGAAATCAAGCAGTTCGAAACCACCAGCTGCTTCTCCAGAGAAAGACGAGGCTTTCTACTCTCTTAAAGAGTTATAATCTCGGAAGCCCACCGGGGTAGTTCTACCCTATCCCATAGGGTCACTAGGAGTTGGAGTGGACTTGCTGGGAAGAGAAGGTCTCATCTTTCTCCCAAGGAGCGGCTGGTGGTTTCCAACCGCTGACCTTGCAGTTAGCTGCCCAACATGTATCCACTGCGCCATCAGGGCAGTGAGCGCAGCAGACCTCAATCTCTGTGTTCTCAGGGCTGGCAGGGCAGGGGCAGATGGATGGCACATGCTAATCAGTGTTGGGTTACCCAGTCCGTAAGGTAAGCACAAGCTTCCTTGTGTTTACTTCTGACTAAGTGGTGAACAGGTTCACATTTCTTCCATCACATCAAACATTCTGCTGCTACGTAGGGCTGGCATCTGTCTCTCTCTTTCAACACCCCAGGGTTCTTACAGAACCAAACAAATCAACCGAAAGCACCCCCAAATCAAAACAAAACACAGCGAGTCCATGCTGACTCACGGAGACTATAGGACAGGGTAGAACTGCCCCTGTGAGTTTCCCAGACGTTCACAGTGAGAGGAATAGAAAGCCCTGTGTTTTTCCCGTGGAGTGGCTGGGGGATTTGAGCTGCAGACTTTGTGGATGGCAGCCTGATGCAGAAGCACTCTGCCGCCAGGACGCCTCTTCGTAGTTACAGTCCCTGACAGAGGGCCCCGGCCAGCAAAGTCAGCATAGGCTCACGAGGGCTTATTTACGAATCGGTCCACTGTTCACTAGTGATTTGTGAGTGTGCACACGTATGCCTGTGTTGAGCTTGCTGACTGGAGTTCTCCACCCCTGCACCCATTGAGGAAGCCCATAAACTAAAGTGTGTGTTCAGAGAGAGGGAAGTGCTAGGAGAGAGGCGCCAGAGAAAGGTGGGGAGGGGTCAGCCCCAGACCCACTGCTGTAGAGTCCGTTCCAACTCCCAGCAACCCTGTAGGACAGGGGAGAACCCTTCCATCGGGTCTCTGAGCCTGCAAATCCCCAGGGAAGCAGCCCGTCTCAGCTTTCTCCCCTGGGGCAGCTGGTGGATTTGAACCACTGACCTGGTGGCTAGCAGCCCAACTCATCACCGGACTCCTTAGCGAGTGATGACAGGTTCATTTCAAGTTGGGAGGTCAGAAACATGAAGGACAGTGTCGGTAGGGGAAGAGCACCCCAGGAGGGTGGAATAACAGGTGCAAAGGCCCTGAGGCCTGTCTGAGGAAGGAGCCAAATGGGAGGGAGTGGGGAACTGAAGTTGGCCAAAGGCCACCTTGACCTGGGCTGTGGGGAGAGCAGGAAGGCTGACCCCGCCTGGCCCGAGGACTCACCGGGTAGGAGAAGGTGAAGGTCACATTGGAGGCGAGTGTCTCTGTGTTGTTGTTGCTCACGAATATGGAGTTGACCGCGGAGAGGACTTCGACCCGGGCCACGTGGACCTGGCTCTCATAGACGGTTTCCAGCTCCGTTACCTTCTCGAGCTCCAGGACCAAGGAAGCGTTGTCCACCAAGTCCCGCATTTTCTCGCTCGAGAGGATGCCCACCACCGTGGGGCCTGGGCGACAGACAGACTCACTGCCTCCTCCACCCTCCTAGCATCCAACCCAGGCCCAGGGGCCCCACTTTGCCCCCTGGAGAACCACCCGAGGGGTCAGTGCCCAGTTGGTTCAGATTCTGAACCTCACTGTAGCCACCATTCCTCTCCCGTAGCCCTCTTACCTGAGTCGTTGACAGGGGCTGCCACACTCCACTGCAGCATCACCCGCCCGCGGGACTGGCCCACAGTGACCCTCTTGTCTCCATCGTCTTTCTCGTCCTCCCTCCGCACCAGCACAGACAACTCTGAGGGGAGAAGAGCCGTGCTGGGGGTGCTGGATGCAGGAAGAGGCCTGGGGCGGGGCCAGGGCAGGACGAGGCCTCACCTGTGTCCTGGGAACGGTAGGTAAAGGACGGGCCGGGTAAGGTCTGGGCCAGGGCCCGCAGCATCTGTTCGAGGCCCGAGAGCAGCTGGGTGGCGATTTGGTACCGCTGGTCTAGGCCCTCCATGTACTTGGTGTCCGTCAGCAGCTCATCCATGAATGTAATCAGTTTCTGGGGACAATGTGTAACAAAGCGGCTGAGCTCCTAGGTCACAGGGCTGCCTGAAGAGCCCTGATCTCGCTGCCCACCGGGCCACAGATGAGAAGACCCCTGGGTTTCCAAGCACAGCGAATCTTCATGCCATTACAGTAACCAGAGGACAGCCAGGGGACACGTTGCTGTATGCTGGCAGCTAGTGCGTATCGGCTGGGTGCCAGGCACCGGCCAGTATGGTCCCCAAGAGCCCTGGGTGGCCTTTGGGCTCCTGGAAACATGACTGGTCCCACTTGAGCGGGCTCTGATCATAGAATACACACCAGACTTTAAAGCAAAGAATGTAAAAGATTGCATTTATAATTATATAATTACACACACACACACACACATACATGGCTATGTTTAGGATATCTTGGGTCAAGAGGAGTCTTTAAAAGAAATAATGAATTTTGTTTGTTTATTTTTTTACGTCTTAAGATGTGGCTATGCGGACTGTTGTATTTTTTGAGGTTCAAAGCATCATAGTACGGCGGGATGTGGTTCTCAAAAATGCGATTTGAATAAAGTGGGTCGCACGAGATTTCCGTTGGACTTTGCCGGGCTCAATACAGGAAAGCCATGGTGGAGTCGGGGGTGAAGAGTTGAACTGTTAACCACAAGCCAGCACTTGGAAACCACCAGCTGCCCCGAAGGAGGAAGATGAAGGCCCCTCCCCCACGATGTACAGGAAACCCACACGGGCAGTTCTCTGTCCCATAGGTCTGCTGTGATGGGCATCAGCTCGATGGCAGAGTTCGGGCCCCACACATAGACTAGACCAGATGCAGAAAAAGGAGCCTGGTGGCCTGCAGGGCTACAGGTTGGGCTGCCGACTACAAGGTCAACAGTTCCAAACCACCAGATGCTCCGCTGGAGAAAGGAAGGCTGTCTACTCTCTTTCAGAGTGACAGTGTTGGAAACCCCCCGGGGCAGTTCTACCCCTGTCCTATAGGGTTGCTGTGATTGGGCGTCAAGGCAGTGGACTTGAGTTTGCGGTTGGTTTGGGTTGTACAGAGGAGGCCTCTGAGGCCCAGTTAAGGGGAGCCACTTGCCTGAGGTCACCCAGCAGGAAGGGGAAACACCCAAGTTCAAACCCTTGAGGTTCAACGCTAGAGCTGGGGTTCTTAAGTCCTCTGTCCTAGTTCCATCATGCTGGATGTGTACGTGCATGTGTCATGGGGATGTGTATGGTGTGTGCACTGTGTATATGTAGTACTCTGTGTGCCTCTGACCAGAGACCCCTGCATGGGCTGAAGACTGGCTCACTTGAAGCATCCCCAGTCCCCCCAGGCTGTCCTGGGGGTTCCCCCAGGTCCCCTCCTTACTTGGATACTCTTGTTGGTGGAGTTTGGCTTGAAGTCTCTTCTCAGAGTGTGAACATTATTGAAGAAGTGGGTGAGGCTCTGAGGAGAGGGAGAGGAGATGATCAGAGAGCTCATGCCGGGGGGGCAGGGAGCCAGTGCAAAGGGGTGGACGCTGTGCAGAGGGAACCCACTCGGGCCACTTACCTGGTGGTTGAACTCAGAGCTCCAGGTCCAGGAAGGGAGACCTATTTCTGTGGGGACAGGACACGATTCACTGAGTGGGGTGTTTTTTATACACAGTGATCATTTAGTTATTGTAGAAGCCAGATCTGAGCACTGTGATGGATGGTACCTTCCCCCAAAATAGGTGTTAGGAGCCCTGGTGGTTATGAGGTGGGCTGCAAACCACCATGTCAGCAGTTTGAAACCAGCAGCCGCTCCTTGGGAGAAGGATGAGGCTTCCTACTCTCATAAACAGCTCTAGACTCGGATGATCCCAGGCAGACAGGGTAGTGCCCCTCCGTCCCTGTGAACTGGCACAGACTCAATGGTGAGTTTGGTTTTGAACATGCACGTTCAATCCTACCCTCTACACCCGTGGTTGGTTATCAGGGGTGGTCTCTGCTAGGTGAATAGGGCAGGATTAGGGTGGGTGTGTCCTGAGTGCGTCTCTTTTGAAATGTAAGATTAAACCAGGGGGCAGGGGAGAGATGAAGGAAGACAGATGTTAAGACGCAGAGGTTTCCAAGCAAGCGGAAGCGGAAGCTGAGGAGACAAAGATCTTCCCTGAGAGCGGGCAGAGTGAGCCTTGCCCTGGCGCTCTGCCTTTGGGCTGTGGCCTCCTTGACTGAGAGGAAAGACTCCCAGGGTCCCTCTGCTCTCTGCTACAGCAGCCAGACACCGGGGCGGGCATCAGGCCTCATGGGTGCATTTCCAGGAGGGAGGGCACCCCACTTGCTACTGTCTGGTGACACGAAGAAGCCAGGCCTTATCCTTGCCTGGATCAGGTCCCCCGTTCTTCTGCCTGCCTCGCCCCACCCTCCTGCTAACACGAACCTGAGTGGGTGTGGTGGGGGCCATGGGAATGGCCTAAGTCCCTACAATGTCCTCATGTAGCTATATTGAAACTCCTCGAACTGGGTCCTCCCACCGCCCCCAACTCCCCAGTGCCCCCCATCCCCTGGAGCCCCCCTCCCCATGCCACACACACATTCAGTTCCTCCCTGACTTCCCCTTTAACTTTTCACAGGGAGGCTCAGAGGGGTGAACATCTGGCTCAGCAGGGGTCACCAGCACCCATTCTGCTTGGCTGGTGTGGGCGCCCTAGGATCTGGGATCCGATGTCCCAATCGAAGCTCCCGGAAGAGGGCCCGAGCTCCGTACCTTCACAGTCCGTGGTGTTGAGGCCCTTGGGGGACCCGGGTTTCAGCCTCCAACCCCGCCTGCAGGAGCATTCATAGCTGCCCATACTGTTGACGCAGTAGGTGGTGTTGCGGCAAGGGCTTGGTTTCAACTCACATTCATTCACATCTGAGGACAGAGCCACAAAGTCAGGTCCTGCCCAGCCTGGCTCACCACCCCCGTTTCCCATCTTCTTGCTGCCCAGAACCTGAACCCAGGACCCCAGCCATTATTGACCGGGCTTCCACCTGGTGGCCTTCAACTTCAATCTCGAAGATCTATGGTGGCCTCTACCCAAGAGAAGTGCCGCTGGGACGTGGCTTCCAGTTTGTGGAGGAGGGAAACCGAGTCATGGCAGCTGGACTTCCTGACTAAGGGCTCTCCTCTGTTCCCGCCCCGGTTCCGGCCTCGGTTCCCCTTCTCAGAACCGGAAGTGGCACCTCCCTCTCTGTTTGCATGAGATGGACGAGAATGACCTGTGGGCTGTGCTCAGAGGCAGGGGGCCCTGCAGGGGGACTCCAGTTCCAGGAAGCTCCGGGTCAGTGCCAGGACCTTCTGCAGGGGCAAGTCCTTGGGCAGGCCCTCGGTGCTGTAGGAATCTGAGACTCTTCTCCCACCTCCTTGGCTGGGTGACTTCTCCATCCACACCCAGCCTCCAGGCCAGCCTCTCACGTCCTCCTCCGGGCGCTCTACCTGTGCACTGCTTCGGGTCCTGTGGACTGAACTCAAAGCCGGGAGGGCACAGGCAGCTGTAGTGGCCCGCCGTGTTCTTGCAGATGCTGCGTTTTGGACAGAGCTTTGGGTTCTGCCGACACGGGGAAGGAGAGGGCGGTGGACGCCTGCCGCCGAGGGCCACCCTCCAGCCTGGGGACGGTGTGCTTCCTGGTGCAGAAGCCTCCATACGGCCGTCCCTCTCCAGCGAATGTGCCTTTTTCTAATTCATGCGGAGGTGTCCATGGGTGAGTGGGGCGGCCCAGATGTTCGGCTGTCC